AGTTCCTACTATCTCTGTGCACAGTTCGAGTCAGGTCTCTATATTCTTTGGTTAGACACACTGGGAGCACCATGTATAGTTCTTGTCTTTATGTTATTTAATTAGACAACACTGGGAGCACTATGCACAGTTTTGGTCTCTAAAACCCTCAGTTAGACCCCACTGCGAGCACTCTGCACAGTTCTGGTCTCTTTAATCCTCGGTTAGACCCCAGTGCGAGTACTATGCACACTTCTGGTTTCCATATCCCTCGGTTAGGCTACACTGGGAGTACCGTGCGTAATTCTGGTCTTGATATCCTTTGGTCAGACCACACTGGCAGTACAGTGCACAGTTCTGATCTCCACGTCTATTGATTGGATCATGATTCCTGAGGTTTAGACTTTCCCACAGGAAGGGACAGTCAGTAATGGGATAGTATGGGACACAATACTCACAAGTAAGGAGGGCTCTCCAACAGTCCGTGGTGCAAGGGAAAGTCCAAGAGAGATATCTCCAGCTTCAGGTGGTGCTGTGGTAGTAAAGGGATGTCAGATTAGTGGAACACAGCAATGTGGTTTGGACCCCAACACGAGTGTGGGGGATATTGAGAGTGGGAGAAGGGGTGTCAATGCTGGTAGTCGGAGCAGGTTGCAGAGATGTGAAGGGGTGGGGGGGGAAGCTAGTCAATGGGGAAGAGATTAGTTGGGTGAGACCAGGAAGATAGGTGAATAGGGACCAGTCACTGAGGTTGGGGGTCAGATGGTGCAGCAATGGGGGCAGGTGGAGGTGAATTGGGCGTGAAGGTGTGGAGAGGTGTGGTGGAAGAGCAGGCCTGAGCTGCCCTACCATATCTTCGCGCTCTGTAAAGCTCCATTCGCCTCCCGCGCCCTCAGCCAGTTTCAAGCCCCCCTGCAGCTCTTGAATCATTTGGGATTCTCTTGTAACCCGTCCAAAGGGGCATGAGGGCTGTCCAACCTGTCCCACTTGGGTCAGGTATCCCCTGGTAAGGGGTGTGGGGGAAAGCTCTGCTTTTTGGGAGGGATTGGTATTTGGTTTGTTGGGGAGGGGGCGCAGTGTCTGGTTAGTGGAGTGGAGTGGTCAGTGTCCAGTTTAAGGATGGGGGGATCCACATCTGGTTGAGGATGTAGGGAAGTGGTGGGGTGGGGGGGGGGGGGG